AATAGGGAATTCCATAGGTCTGTTTGGTTATTTGAAAGTTTTATGGATTCGTTTTTATTACGTTTATAATTTTTTATAGACCTTAACCTTAACCTATTGGTGCTGTGCTAAGGATTTTAAAATTATTTTAAGGGAAAATATGACCAGAGTAGAAGTAATTAATATTTTTAAATTGACTCTATTTTTGTTTTGTGTAGATGACTGATGTTTTGTGAATTTGGTATATTTTTTCCATCAGTTTGTGTAAATTACAAAGAGAATTAATGTAATAAACGAAAAAACAATAGGAAAAATAAAAAATTATAAACATAACAAAAACAAAACGATAAAACATTTAAATGGTCAAATAGACGGACGGAATTCATAATGAATAATAGCCTCAAAAATACGTATGTCATCGTTCTCGTCGATTTCTGCATTTAATTGTACATTTAATCGTCACAATATTATAAATATCCATAATTAATTCAGTTTGTTTTGTGCTTCTTTCAACTAGTAAAATAAACCAGACTAAACTGGCGGGCCGCCCAGAGATGGTAAGGACATGCTCCAGTCGCCGGCCGAAAATCACCGGATGGGGTTTAAACTGCGCAAGTGTTCTTCGCCTGGAGATCGACTATGAAACGGAAAAAAAATGCTTATCCAACCGCCCGCCGGCGAGAGAGCGGTTACTCTATATGATGGATGTGGGCACGCGTTAAGGTTGTCGCCCACTAGACCGCTGCGCGGCGCGGCGCTGGGAAGAGTATTTTTTCCGGCTGCGAAGGAACTGCGCCCACTATAGCGCGCTTTTGAAACGCGGCAACGCTATTTAGTTATAGTCGAAGTGTTTTTTACTTACTGTAGTTTAGTTTTTAAAGCAATGAGTTCAAGTACGGCGAAAACGTATTTTTTGTGCTCTTCTAACAGGAAGAGGGGGTAAGGGAAAAGTTTGGACTCATACGATTAAAAAAAAAGAAAGAAGTTTGGAGAATTTTACCATCTTTTTCCAGATTTAATAAAAGACAAGATCATTTTTTTCAGTATTACAAAATATAAAGGAAACATTTTACGCAGTCCTCAATTGAGGGTTTTAGAAGCAAAACACTGAGTATCTCTACTCATCATATTTTTTCAGAAGAGACAAATTACTAATACTTTTGATAATTCTTATTTATTCTGATGTGTATATTAGTTATGTGGTGAAAAAACCCTGATCTTTTTTATATATTTAGGTAATTAGAATTTAAAAATTGGAGATTGTCACTTTTGTTAAAAAGTGGAGATTGCCGGTTTTGCCTCTACACCCCTCAATTATATTAAATCTTTGATAGAAAGGCATTTCGTCCATCTGTCTCTAGTGAGGGAAGACTATAAATAAAATTTATCATATTCCTTTATGAAAATCGATTTGCCTAATTTACCTTTAAAAATACAATTCTACCAGTGATACGTATCACTAGTTCCTAGTCAAAAAGCCAACTGAAAAGACTCGAATGCAAAATTATTTCCCTTGTGAGTACGCACACTGCAACGCGTCAAAACGCGGGAGACGGAAAAAAGTTGCTAGAGAAGTCTTCCGACTTCTTGACGGAAATCCCGCGGCGCGCTTCTGCGCTGCGCGCTCTAGTGTGCGTTGGTCCATTTAAATACATGGCAAGCAGACAAAAGAAATTTCCACATGGCGCCGCGCCGCGTCGCGCCGCGTTCTAGTGGGCGACAACCTTTACTCGGAGAGCGCTTGACTCTGAAATAAGAACGAAGAATTTCGGAAAAGCTTCCGCCAACGGGCGGCTGGCGATCGACTATGAATACGGCCGTTTGACTTATGTCATTTTAATTCGAGTTAAGTCATTTTTATAAAGACTTATAATCAATATAACTTTATTTAAGTGGTTTTTATGACTTAAGTCTATATTTTTGACTTAAAACATGATGATCTGCAAGTTAAGTCAGTAAAATCACCTAAATCAATATAATTATCCTCAAGGCATTACAACCAGAATTCAATTTAAGTACTTTTTTTTTAAATGTTAGTCTTAATTTTCTTGTATTACCAATAAGAGGTGATTTTCTTACTAAGTAAATTATCATATTATTAATTTACTGTAGATACAGATGAGAATAAAACAAAACGATTTATTTTCAGGGTAACTAATATAATCAACAATAAAAAATAAACCTAAAAGCATAACTTATATGAAATAAAATTGTATGGTACTTTGTATAGGATGACCCATTTTCGCGTGTTTTAGTTATGTTTGGCTTCTCGTTTATGAGCAGAAGTACAAAGATGCGGTTTTCACATAAAGCTATATATACCTTAACTATGCTGCTTTTTTATGAAACTAAAAATGGTACACACATATTATTTGTCCTAGTCCTAGCCCTCTTAGTTCCTGAAATACAGAGCAAAATTGAAATTGTTACATTTTTAGACTCCCCTCATATCTCGGTCATTAGAACATATCGAAAAGATGAAAATCGAGCTCCATAGAGATTTCCAAGTAAAATTCAGTGGCGCAACTAAAACCAAGATACGAAGAGGCTCGAAAAATGCAACATTTTAAAATTCGCCTTGTATTTCAGGAACTAAGAAGACTAGGTGTGTACTATACTAGGGGTGTAAAAAAATGCTGCTGTTAAAAATTTATCATAAAAATATATAAAAATCTGACGTAAGCCTTTTATAAAACTTTAAGACTTAAATCTTAAGTTTTTTATAAAAATATTTAACTATTTTTAGTGACTTAAGTCTTTCCTAAAAAGACTTAAATCTTTTTCTACTTTGGAATAAAGATTTACATCACAAATCATTTTGAAAAAGACTTAAATCTTAAGTAAGTGTCAGTCGTAAGTCAGATTGCGAAAAATGACCTGAATGAATCTGAAAATCTCTAAAATGACTTAAGTCATTAAAATTATTTAAATCAAAGAAAAACTTAAGTTTTCTGTCAGCTTGCAGCTCTGTCTATATGTCAAATTAAAGCTGTTTTTATACTGTGCATGTTGTCATAAGGATGCCTGTAAAAAAGTTGTCGCAAATAAGGGCTCCCACGGTTCAAAGTCGTTCCTAATACTTTATACGGGCCCGGCAACAGGTTATTTTTTTTCAAACGTTTTTTTTTCAAACAAATAATTTTTTAAAATTAAAAAAATTAAAATTTTTTGCTTCACCCGGATCTTAGATTAATACAAATTGACTTTCATTTTTTAAATCCGCTTTATAAACCTCATTATCTCAATAGAATTAGTGATATTGGTAGATTACACTGAATGACTTCTGAACCCTCCATTTATACACTTAAGGAATTTTAAATTCTAATATTATTATTATAATTTAAAGTACCTATACCTTGTAACCTATATACTGTAATTTATTTAACAAGATTCAAAGTTATTTAAAGAGTATAGATTGTCTTATTTGTGTAAAACAAAAAAGAACAGAAAAAGATACTAATTTTAAATGTGGTAGAGTATGAATTATAGTTAGGGGTTGGAACCTTTGGCGTTACACAGCAAAATAAAACACTAAATCGCCACAATACACCAAAACACTTTTACTTTTTACACTTGACGCGCGTTTCGCTAACCATGTTAGCATCATTATCAGATGATTAAAACTTTTTAAAAAGAAGTTTACCGTTTAATACGGGAATTAAAAAAAACAACAAAATTATATTTCATTCATTAGCCTTACTTAACCAGTTTCCAATTCTATTTTATTAATATTTTGTTTAGCTACTCCTGATACTGAAAAATGATGATATTTTTCGTTAAATGCTTCAATAACCCGACGATAGCTCTTTTTTTCTTTTCCGTTACAATGAACTAAATAAATTTTGTGCTACTTATCATTTTAAACAGAAAAACATGACGTTAATTAAAATTAATAATCATCTCAAAGAATGAAAACCAAAGATGAAAACTAAATGAATTACCATAGAAACGCGATGTTTAAAATATGAACTTAAAATTCAACCACATTTTCATATTTTTTAATTATTCTCTAAAACGGTAAGGAAATTTGAAAACAGTATAAACGAAATTAGCCATTTTGGAACAGGCAAAAACTTGTTAAGACGATCAGGGTATATACTCTTGATTGGTATTTGCAATCTGATTAGACACAATCAACTTAAACATTAAATTAGATAAAAACGTCAGTAGGCGTCTGTCAATATATCAACTAAACCTTTGAATAAGAAGACTAAGGAATGAGCATAATGCTATCCATGTATTCATGCATGGTGGGCGGAAAAAGCACCATAAAAGCACTCTAGGGTGGGGATCCTTGACAGTTCTGTTTGACGATTCATTTGACACATTTGAATTTGATTTGAAATTTTGTGGATTTGTCAGTCTTTACGGAGCTTATTTTATGTTATTTATTATTTATTCTACTACTGATAGTTGTATAAAGGTAGTAAATCTAGATGGAAATTGTGGCAGCACTTAAATTAACAATGACACTATCGCGATTTATCGAAAAAGACTCTAAAATAGTTGGTTGTGTAGCGTGCGGTAGATCTCGGCAAAAATTGAGTGAAATAATGGAACAACTTTTCGCTAGTAAGTGACTATATAATATACATACGTGTAGGAAACCGATCATTTATGAAATTCCCTTAAATTAACTAAATTATATATTTTTCTTGCATTTTAGCTTTTATTTATTACTTGTCAAAGATTTAGATGTCAAAGAATTTAGATACGTTAATTTGACTTACCTGCTTCAGTAGCGTATCGGATTTGTGGTAATAAATACTTATTATAATTTATCTGTTTTTATTAGAATTATATATTTTTATAACAATTTTAATAACTACTAACATTTATTCACAACGTAAAATAAAACAACAAATTATTGAGTCTACCCCACGTCTACCCTACATCATAGTTTTACATTTTTTAAATAAAATTAGAACGACACTGATAAACCGGAATTTAAGTCGGCCATATTTGAGACCCATCGGGGTGTACCTAAGATTTTTGATATGCTCCTTCCTTAGTCTTCTTATTCAAAGAACTAAACCTAATAATATGACACACAATAGACATTATCATAAGCAGGTTTGTTCCAACGTAGCAGAGAACCTTTCTTGGTACGGTTAGGCTTATGCGCAGTAGAGAAAATGCGTTCCATCAACGACAAAATCGTTTAGCGAACGATAACTTTTGTGTTCCATTTAGAATTGCAATAGTTGTTGTGCAAATATGATGAGTGGCAAAGAGGACAGTGATATTGAGTATGTTGATACCACAGAAGATGATTTGAAACTTTTGTTAAACAAAGCAAAATAAATCAAATAAATTCAATAATCGGTAAATATATCCAATAAAATAGAAAATTCGAAATTTACCTATATCTAATAATATAGAAAATACAGGGTAGTCCGACCTGTATTCCGGAAACTTCAGCAGCATATTCTACAGATAAAAATAGGTAAAAAAGTTCATATAAATGTATATCCAAAAATGCATTATCTCCGGAACTAAAGAGATACATAGAAGTTTCATTTTTATTTCGATTTTGTACAAATAATTTCTGAAGTAACGTCAATATGTGGATGAAAATTGGTGTCTGGGAGTTTTTTGACATGAAAATGTTGATTTTTGATGTCAATATGACTCCTACTTGTGGAGGACGCCACCTACATAGTTTTTAACTGGTTTGAAGAGTAATAACTTTTCGTACGTACTTATATAAAACTACTGAGTAAAAAATTATATATTTACTACGTTTTTTACGTAAAAAAAGGTCTCTTGGTAAAAATCGCCACGAGTAATGGTTCTCGAGATCTTTAGAATCGAAGTTATCAATACCTGTCATCATTGACATAAATTAAACATGTTGACTAAATAGTTATTATACTGAAATCATAAATTTGATATGTTTTTGTGTCAAAAGTTTAACAGAAACTGTTTTCTCATCATTTTCTTGAAGAAAAAATTATGATTAATTTAAAAAAATTAAAAAGTCACAAATTTATAATTTTAGTCAAATAACTATCTACTCAGCACGTTTATTTTTTGTCAGTAATGCCATGTATTGATTACTTCCATTCTAAATATCTTGAGAACGGTTGCTCGTAGCGATTTTTACAAAGAGACATTTTTTACGCGGAAAATCACGGAAATGTATTTTTTCACTCAGTAGTTTTATACAGGTACGGACGGAAAGTTATTACCTATCAAAACAGTTAAAACACATATAGGTGACGCCCCCTACAAATAGGAGTCATATTGACATCAAAATCAAATTTCTCGTGCAAAAAAACTTCCAGACATCCCAATATTAAAGTTACTTCAGAAATTATTTGGAAAAAATCGAAATAAAAATGAAACTTCTACACCCTGTATCTAAGCATTTTCGGGCATATGTTTATACGAACTTTTTGACTTATTTTTATCTGCAGAATATGCTGCCGAAGTTTCCGGAATACAGTTGGGACCACCCTATATCTAATCTATTTTAATAATTAAAAATTAGGTTTTGAATTTGTTTCCAAAATCAGTTCAAAAACCGTTTCAAATTAAATGTGAATTTTGGTATTGTAACAGAACTGTCCAAGTGTACAAATCCGATGCCGGCAATCCCAATTACCGTTCTAGAATAACCTTTATTTTAAAATGCGCAAACCCGTTTACTATAGGTTTGTTCCAACACAGAAATTTGTACCGTTCTTAATTATTATTATTATCTTTTTTAGCAGGACAGGATTTTTTTTCCCGAGAATGATGGTCATCGGCTACCAAGGAGCAAGATTGACACATCAACCAAACTATTGATTTAGAAACGACCTCACTACGTGCATAGAGTCAAGAAGGACGGATTTTTGCATTGTACGGTAAGTGGTATGTGGTTTGTAATTGAGCTGTAATTTCTGTATTATTAATCCGGTAAATGATGTAGATAAGCAATTGTGATTGATTAAAATTTTATTTTAAGATGAAAGTTTTGTTAAAAGACATTCTGAGAATTCCAATAATGAATTGAATAATGACAAGACAAGTGACATCTGTCTAAAAAAGACAGCGATTTAGAGTGACAATTTCGATTATGTAAAAGAAATACATATTCTAAGTTTACTGGTTGCCTAGCGATTTACATAATTTTAAAATAAATCCCCAACATAAATAATGAACAAAACATTTAAACAAAAACAGACTACAGACGGTTTTATATTAACTCTATTTTTTTTGAAGTTTATAAAAATTATTAATAAAATAATATACCGGGTAGTGCATCGTCGGACGGGACATAGGAAATCCCATGTAAATTTTAATGGGGTCAATTATTGGCTTCCCTAATTATTTTAGAGAATAATTCTATTTAGGTTCATTGAAGAGCACTAAAACCCACATTCAAAAGAATAACTTCAGATATTTTTGATTAGCTCGTTTACGAGTTATCGCCGATTTCTTTTTAAATATTTCTCCTTTCTTATGGCCCTGTATTTACTTATGAGCACCAGTCAAGGTAAAAGATAACTGTCAAATGAAGTTGTCATTTCAGAAATTTACCTATTTAGTGCTTTATTATTAATGAAAACTCATTCCTATGTCGGAAATCTTAAAGATTATAAATACAAATTAATATGAATTAAAGTAAAATAAAGTAATCAATTACAAAGTTAATTATAGTATTATTACAATATTCAATAACTTACTAATTTAGGTACTATTAAATTGTTAGAACTTTAGGATTTAAGATGTTCAAATATTCCTCCATCGACTGCTAGACAATAACCCAGGCGATCATAAAATTATCTTCTTACATTCGCTAGTTGGTAAACTGAAATTCTATTGCATTCGGCAGAAGTAGCATTTTTTAACTCGTCTAGATTTGGGTATTTTTATCCTGGTATATCCTGTTTTTTAAATGGCCCCAGAGAAAGAAATCATTTGGCGAAATATCAGGAGACCTTGCTGGCCAATTTACTGTATGATTTAGGCTAATAACGTTTCCGTTAAAACTATTGTTTAAATATTCCCGAACAGGGTACTATGTGTCGGGCAGCCATCCATTTGGTACCAAACTTCCTGATTTTCAAGCAGGTAAAATATGATTTTCGAATAGTTCCAAATAATATTCTGTATTTAAATTTCGCGTAAGAAATAATGACCCGATAATATTGTGTCCGAATATCCCTGCCCAAACATTTACTTTCTGTGGATATTGCGTCCTTGTTTCGACAAACCTGTGTTGGTTTTCTTTGTTCCAGTAGCGATAATTTTGAATATTGAGTTCATTATTTAAGGTAAACGTGCATTCGTTAGTGAAACATATGTTTTTTAAAAATTTACTATCCGTGTTTGCTCTTTCCATCATATCAAAACAAAACGCCTGCCGCCGTATTTCGTCCCCATCACGTAGCTCTTGGTGCTTTTCATATTTGAAGGAATAGTATTTCTGTCGTTTCTACATTCGAAACGCTGTAGTGTCATCTATTTCTATTTCATCCTCAAGTTTCCTTGTGCTGATCTTTCCATCAACTCTTCCACGCACAATAAAACTTCCAAGTCGGTATCATTTCTTGCATCTTCTCTTTGTTCCTGCCTTGCCTCACTTCTGCAGTTATTTATTAGGGTACCTGTGGTCTCAAATTTCTGGATATTCCTTGCGATTGTAGATTTTTCAGGTATCGGTCTATTCGGATACAGAGTCCGACACCTTTTGATAACTATTTCCGTGATAATACCATTTAATCATCAATACTTTTTCTTCGGTAGTGTAATTCATGGCTAATATTTTCGATGTAGGTATGAGTTTTTAATAATAATAATAAAGCTCTAAATAGATAAGTTTCTGAAATGACAACTTCATTTGACAGTTATGTTTTACCTTGACTGGTGCTCATAAGTAAATACAGGGCCATAAGAAAGGAGAAATATACTCTGTTTTTTTTCTCAGGTAAGATTTCGACAGACGATGACAGAAGAAAAGCAGATGACGTCCCATACCAATCTATTTATTTTACTAAAAAAAGTTTCTAATAATTTTTAAGTTATCTATGGATGGGTTTAAATATAAATCCGTCATGCGTCGTGTCTTGTTGTTTTTAACCAGTTTTATTGGTTTATTTAAAAAATGACAGATCGTATTTCAATTTTATTGGTTTGACGGAACGATGAACGATAAACGGACGCCGATGCGTATGAACTCGCCTTTAGATTTTTGTCATTTTTGACACTTGTCAAAGTCTTGCCAAATTATAGGTTATAATTTTGTGTCAACTTTTGTTAAATACCCTGCGTTTTGGAAGATGATGCATTTTGATTCGTATTACGTGTGTTTTGTGTCTTTTGAAGTCAAGTGGAGGAAAAATCGAGTGAAAATTAACTGTAGACCCAGAGCACAGTTTATGGTTAATACTCGCTACCCAGGCAGAAAGTCTTATACACCAATGAAGTTGCCATCGTTAAAGTTTGTATACCATCTCGTCGTAGATAAGTACATCTCATATATGGTAGAAGGATCAAACTAAACACATACTAAAAACTGGAGTAGCTGTAAAATATCGACATCACACGATAGGTAAATAATGGATTTTAGTACTGCAGAAAAATAATGTCAAAAGGTACTGGTTTAAAAAAATTAAGATTAAAGTTAATTAATCAACCTTTAAGGTATAAAATTTGGTAGGTGTTATTATTAATAAAATAGTTTGTTTTATTTACCTATGTTGTTTTATTTATTCCTGTGGAATATTACAAATTTGTATTTGTACATAAGTTATATTGATAAATATAATCATGAATGCGGGTAGTTTCATAAAGCTTGAAAGTAAAAATAGTTCTTTTTATATTTTTTGGTATGTAGTGTCTTGTTCTTGTTTGTTTTGTATTAACACATACCGGTTTTATTAAATAAAATAACTCGATTACATTTTTTCAGTTTTATACAGTTTTTTTCACAATATTTTGAAGTAATCACTTGTCATCTTGTCAATCAAATTTTAAATATTTCCTGCTATGCGTTCCAGTTGTACCAACTTATTTCTTTGTAAAATAAAATAAACTACTTTGAAATTAAAATGACAGACACATCTATCACTGTCAAGGATCTTCTCGTTGGACAGACTATATTTAAAAAGAAATCGGCGATAACTCGTAAACGGGCTAATCAAAAATATCTAAAGTTATTCTTTTGAATGTGGGTTTTAGTGCTCTTCAATAAACCTAAATAGAATTATTCTCTAAAATAATTAGGGAAGCCAATAATTGACCCCATTAAAATTTACATGGGATTTCCTATGTCCCGCTCGACGATGCAACACCCGGTATATCCTTCAATTTAATAGCTGTTAGTAAGAAGTTTCACTTCTAATATACGCTCATACTGCACACACAATTTTTTTTATGATTATTTTTCAGATTTAATAGCTTTACGAAGTTACTACTAAGTAAATCTAAAAAAAAAATAAAAACAGAACCGACCATGGCTATTCAACACATATTTATAAGAAAACTACTTGAAGAAACTCAAAACCGTACTGAACAGTACTACAGAAATCTCCACGAATCTCATTCCATTTTCGATCCGGATCCTCCTCCACCCCCACCACCGGTACGACCGCCACCCCCACCTTGCAGTTTGTGGTACATCTGGGCATCTGTCATTGTTGTCATAGCCGCAACTATTAGCTTAATTGTTATCCTGATGCATTTTTGCAGAAAAAGAAGAGGTAAGCGATTGTTTTTCATCCTAATATGTAGACATTCTGTAGGAGTGCTTAGAGAATGTCTACATATTATGTAGACAGAATGTAGTACATTTATAGTGATAAATTAGGTCCGAATCTAGCCCGTTTCTCTGACAATGACGGTACCAATGAGTCGTACCAATAGCGGATGATTAAAACATTTTTAATAATATGCTATTGTTAGCAATACTATAAAGAAAGAATTAGTTTAGTGTGCTTAAAATGTCAGTAAATATTTACAGCTTTCTTAATTTGGAATGAAGTAGGCAAGAAGTAGGTTATCAAGTGTCACAGTTAAGAGGTTACAAGATTTTTATAGCAAAATTCCGGGAGGGCAAAAAAAAGCGAGAGCAAAAAAAATGGCTATGCCGAAAAACGAAGATAGTTATACAGGGTGTTTCAAAAAACATGTGCCATCTCTCGTGGGGAGATTCCTCACGTAAAAATAAGATTTATTTTTCATATCAACATAGGTCCGATTCTGCTTTGTTTCGTAGTTATATGAAGTTAAAGTAGCTACAGGGTGTTCAAATCTTAATATTTTTTTGATTTATTATAATTTTCTTCCAAGTACTTTTAGCGTTTCGAATGGAATTTTGATGGTAAAAGTAAAACTATAAATGCGATATATTTTAAAGCTAAAAAAGTGTCGACATATTCACCAGGGACGTACATATGGGTTATCACTGGAATATTTTTCTAAAAAAAGCATTTACGCCACTGACATTTTTTCTCTTGTTAGCAAAATAGTGTAAGCAGTTTAATACCGATTAAAAGTTGTCTCATGATATTTTGTCGATTTCAGCCTCCTTGATGAGATAAACGCAATTTTATTAATTTGCCTTAATCCAAGTCTAACCTTTAAAAAATATTAATATCATTAACTTGCGAAAGTTTTAAATAAGTAGTCGTTGATTCTTCATCAAAAAATATGAAAAAAAGTTCCTATAAACATGGGTATGGAAATGCATAGTTTTAGAGTTAGTTAGGATGTTAAAACTTTTTAATATTAGGTTTTTTATAATTATCTTAAATGCCATAATTTTTTTATTGGAAATTGATGTATGTTGGACGAATAGGAATAATAACTAATAGTAATAATATTTAATAATAAATTAGGTAAAATATATAATTTATTAATTTTATTTTTATTTTATTAATTGTGATTAATAAAATTGCGTTTATCTCATCAAGGAGGCCTAATTCGACAGAATATCAAGAGATAGCTTTTAATTGGCATTAAACGGCCTACACAATTTTGATATCAAAAGTAAAAAGTCAGTGGCGCACATGTTTTTTTTATGAAAAATATTCCAGTGATAACCCATAATATGCACGTCCCTGATCAATTTATTGACACTTTTTTAGCATTAAAATATGTAAAACTGAGAGTAACTTTTACCCCCAAAACTTCATTCAAATCACTAAAAGTACTTGGAAGAAAATAGAAAAATTATTAAGATTTTAACACCCTGTAGCTAAGAAACAAAGCAGAATCGAACCTATGTCGATATGAAAAATAAGTCTTATTTTTACGTGAAGAATCTCCCCACGAGAGATGAATTTTACCAAAATATCATAAATAAATGTAAATAAATAAAGAAACTAAAACATATAATATAAACGAACGAAGCTAAATCGAGAAATGTGAGAACTCTTTCAGTGCGGCAATATGGTTTTCGAATAGGTAGACTACAATACATGCGATTGATTCGCATACCAATGCTTCTTATTGCCAGACAAGTAGCAGATTATGCGCCAAATATTAGAAAATTGTGCGCAGTAATTACTCTAGATGTCCAAAATGCGTTCAACAGTGCCTCATGGCAGATAATTCTGGACGAAATGCAGAAGTGGCTTATAAGTTCGTCTCTGATATGGTGGCATCGATCTCTGAAAGAACGATTTTAGTTGAAGATGTTACTTCTAAAAAAGCCAGATGAACGTAATTGGAGGAGTTCCACAGGGCGTACTTGTACCAACAACGTGGCCAACACTCTGGAATATTCACTATAACGACCTTCTGGGACAGTTATGCTCGAAGGAGTCACACTAATCGGCCTTGCCGTTGACGTAGCGATGGTGGTAACAACCAAAGACACTCATGAGTATTATTAATGCAGAACTACAAAGAGGGGCTGCCTTGATCGACCGGAAAGTTTTAAAATTAGCACCAAGTAAAACTGAAGCGGTTTTATTAACCATCAAGATGAAACTCTCTCACGTTTCGTTTGAGCTTCTCGTACAAGTATACCAAAATCCTTTAAAGTTTGGCTTGAGTCAAAGGTTACATTCGGCGAGCATATAAAGTCATACGAAAGGCGGAAAGAGCTTTGACCGCACTGGGTAGGTTGATACCTAATATAGGAGGACCAATTGCTTCTAAACGAAGAATCCTAGCCTGCGTATAGCACATTCCCAATTGTGATATGCCGCACAAGTGCACTTCTCAATAACGGGAATATATAAGGCAAAAACTTAAAGCTATACACCGTAAACTGAACCTCAAGATCTACAGTGCATATAACAGTCTGCGCTGAAGCATTAAATGTAATATCCAGGGTACTTCCTATTCATCTACTTGTAGAAGAGGGAAGGCAAAGATATAAAGGGACACCAACACTAAACTAAAAGGGAGAGATCCACGATCCACCTCAACCCTGTGCGTGTATTGCAAGAAAGTGGATAGTGTCAAAAACACGCTATTCCTCTACAATGAATAGAAGAAGTTTAGAGAGTCATTTCAACGGGATAGTGGAGGACAAGTTTTTAATAAAAAATATATTATGCATAGGATGTTAGTCAGTGAAACATCATGGAAAATCACTTATAGATGCATTAGAGAAATATGACAAACCAAAGAGAATAGAATGCGGCGCCTTGTCGCATAAACAGCCTTCCAGGAGAAGTCCGATATAATCCGGCGTCCTTTTGGTGACGATGTAACAATAAGAAGAATCAACACTTAGTTTTTTTATATCCGGGTTAGATTCACATGAGAATATAGTGCATTTTACTAGTTTCTGGTGATTTCGAGGATATAATTTAGTGGGGAGCCACTTAAATAGTTGGCTGCACTGAGCCCGACATGGGGCTGTACAGCGGAGAAGACCGCGAAGTGTTCAAATGCATTAAGATCTTTGATTAAAATAAACCGAAGTGGCCGCATATACAGTGTATTGCGGATTGACGCGTACAGTGTCACTGTCATGAGTGTCACTGTCATGAGTCATTGCTCACAGTGTGAGTAGGAAAAATATTTAAATTTACACTTATTTATACTGCACTTATTTCTGGGTATAGAGATCAAACCAAACCTAATAGAGTATAACGTGACTTTTGCCTTTCGACGTTAAGAATAGGAAAAATCCTATCTTATACGTATTTATATCATTGTGACATTGTCAATTACAAGTGAACCATAGATTTATGTTACCCGTCCTTTACAGTCGTTTTAATTAAATATTTACTTTTTAAACATAACATGTTGGAGATATCTATCTTGTTTTTTTCGTAATTGCACTCAAGGATTAATTCGAGATAAAGTTGTAATCGATTATCGAAGTCGTTCTTATCAGTCAATAGCTTAATTCGATCTTACATTGAGATATTGAACTGTATGTATAATTAATTGATACCACCCATGAATATCCTAAAATATGTGATTTTAACATTTTAATGTATACTATAGATATAAGAAATACCAGAAGAGCAAGAAAAGGGTAAGAAATACAGGTACATAATTAGGTAAATTATCGTATTTTATTTTAAACAGCCTAAACGAATATTAGTAGAAGTACTAGCTGGCGTATACATTTTCATCAGATATATAAAATGAAGCAGTCCTTTAAATTTATATAATAAATTTATAAAAAACAATAAACTATTCGAAAATCTAAGGGCGCAAACATAGTGAGGCATCTCGATGCGATGCTCGCCAAGATGCTGGCCGCGCTGCTCGCTAGGATGGTAGACGCGATGCATCCTACGCGCACTGTTTTAAAAGGGCGAATATGTGCGCGTAGGCATACTGAAACATTTACTAGAGGTGGGTTGTGAAATCGCAGTCCGCTACTTTGTCACAGCTCCACGAACGTCGCAGTATGTGACTGCTCCAGTTCCAAGAAAATCGCAGTGACATTTCGGAGCAGTTTACAAGTTTAGGACATCTGCGCTCGTGAGTAGCAATAGGAGCAATAGCAGGCAATAGTGTAAATTCTGAAAATGCTCCTAGCCCCGTCGCCCGGTCAGACTGTTCCAGTCACAGTCGTCGCAGGTCGCAGTCGACTGGAGCATAGTATATTGAGTATATTCTGTGTACTGGAGCTGTTGGGAGTTTGGGAACGGGAAACGTAGCAGCGTTCGCTTTTTCTTTCATGAATCTAAATAAGATATTTATGTATTATATATTAATCACAAACAGATGTTTTTGACAAAGGTAATTTTTAACTTGTTAGTATGTTTATTTGTTAGTTAATTTTGTATCTGTGTTTTGTTGTATATCCTAAATCTTTTATTTGATCTTATACATTCATATAAGTTTTATTATTTATATCTATTTTTAAGGTCTGATGATGGCTAAATAGCCGAAACCGGTCACTAATAAAGATTTTTTTGACAGTTTCGACTTTGAATTGAATATAACATTAAGTTTTTACCATGGGCCACCACTCTGTGAAAATGAACAGACTCTTTAAGATATTTATAGCAAAGTGCTTGGTACTTAGAAACACTCAAATTCTTCTGAATAGACTAAAAAAATATAGCAACATCTATCAAACTAAGACATCAGTATAGTACCGTACAGCCGCGATTTTAAGAGCTCTAGGGGCCCGTAGTTCGGAAAAGTTCGAATCTTGTTCGCAAGGGCCCGGGAGGCTTGGGGCCCGTCGGTGACTTACCCCGATTGCACAGACGTTAAAATCGCCACTACTGATCGAAATAAAAAACGGCGTCCAGTTGGCTTGGAAATGACAATCGAT